TTAAGACGATTGAGTGATCATAAGTGATTGAACATTTAACGTAATAATTTTATAGGCATACCTATGCTGAAGAAAAAAATGTCAAATATGTTTTTTGATGGAGAATTTTGCTGAGAGGAGAAATATCGCTTTTTTTTTTTATTTCATCTGATACTCGCGTTCGATAGTTCCCTAGCATTTCAATTCGTATCAAGCACCATTATAGAAATGGAGAGAGGTGATGTGAAAGGAATGAACATGCGTGCGATGATGCATTTGGCTGTGTAGCTGGGTAAACGTGGAGGATCACATTACCACCCAACTCGTTGACTAGAATCTTCTCAACGCTCATTTTGCCCCAAATAATGGTTCTAAATCGTCGAGACATCGATCAAACTTTTGGAATAATTATTACTCCGTTTAGTTGAGAGGTAGAAATTATCATAAACTTTAAACACAAGGGGATAGAATGGTGTAAGAAGAAATTATAGGCGAAAATTAATAGACGGACGAGTTCCTCCGTGCCCTAATTTAGAATGTAAATACAATTTATTATTCGTATTTTTAAAAAATAGGACGGGATAAATTAGACGTACAATCTCATTCGCTTCATTATTTCACATTTTCCAAATTAATAATCCTATCTTAAGAGAATTAGTTGCTTGAATTATTTATTTTCATTGCGAAAACATTTTTTTTTCGTTGATAAGCCGATACGTAGAAGTATTGACTAGCAACTGATAGAGTAAATCTGACAGATAGTGACATATCTTTCCCTTTAATACCAAGCGCTATGAAAATTCAGGAGTGAAGATTCAAATGAAAATAAACCGGTGGCCATAATCCAAATCTCAATCCATTGCCCCCTCGCACCCACCCACCCTCTCCCCATCGCTCCAAATATTAAAATGTGGATGACGAGACATTAAATCCACATGTCCCAAACAAACGGATCCATTGAAGTTTTGAGCTTCCTAACTTGAGTCAAGGGTTTTAGCTGCTGCAGCATGATATGCAATCACAAGGCAGTTGAAGAGATATATATGTATTCAGAAGAATAATCTTGTTGGTTCGAACGATGGAATATCGCCCGAAGGCCATGATATGAATGGATTTGTTTTCTTTTCTTTTCAATTCAATATTCATTGCCTATCGGCGATTTTCGCCATTCGAACTTGTTTCGCCGGCGCTTTGAATATAAAAGAAAAAAAAAATTATTAAGTGTTCGTGTAGAACTGCTTTTCAATGGTCAATAACACATCGAGCGTTGAATTAACAGTTGAGCAATAAAAATTGAGATGTTTTTTCAATGATCGAAGAGATTGATCTCTATGTGCTCGTGTGTACCCAATCCAGCTTTCGCCCGCTGTGCAATTTTTCAGGCTTCGCTGTGAAGAAAAGATGAACTGTAATTGAGGTAAAATTCTCGCCCCTGGGAGATAATTTTCTGAGTTTCTGCATAGTTGATAAAAGTTGAGAAAACGATAACGAATGATTAACACCGTCCACGGCTCCTTCGTTTCTTATTAATACTAAGTAATAGTTTATAGACCTTTGAAAGTGATTAATAGCAGATAGAGGTGATATATATTTTTTATTTAACTCTACATAAAATAGTCTAAGATCGGTACGATCGTTTCGTATTCAATGTTTTCCCTGGGGCGATTATCACTAATGATGTTTCAGTCGGACTTGAAACTCGAAAACGAAAAATACAAAAAAATAATGAGGAATAAACGGAATTAATGGAGTATTAACGTGTAGCTTGCGAATATAATAACCAATAGCAATTGATGACTCGAATATTTTCACCCTAGGCTATTACTAAATGTAATTAACGTCAGCAATCTGCAGACTATTATCGTAAATTGGTTTGTGTAAAACATCACAACATTATTTCGAAAATCCCATAGGTTCTGCAATTGTAGTGGCTTAGTGACTGTTAAATCTATATAATACGCAAAAATAACTCGTAATGCAACTTGAGAATTATTACCCAACAGTACCGTAATGGTCTTTCAAGAAAATTTAGAGTTTAAATGGTTGGAGAACCAGTAAACAAAATTCTTTCCCCACATACTTTAGTCCTACTAACATTTAACAAACAACTTATTCAAACTCAAAATCGTCTATTTCCTCATAAAGTGCTTCTGCAAAATGCATAAAAATAGCCAATTGCAGGGGTAAAACTTATCTTTGGCGATTAGCTTCTAACTGGTAGAGGATATATTTTTTTTCATGATAGATAGCTTTTGGCAGCTGAATTGCGTAAAGCTTGCTGCTCATAGACTATCCCAAGCATTTATGTCCCATTCCCTCTGTACTCGCACGTGCTTGGAGTCTCTGCAAATCTTCTGGATCCGCAAATCCTCCCAATTGTTCGATGGAATCCTCCAATTTGTACTGATTACGCTGAAAATTATTTACCATGACTTATCGCAGGTGTTGAAAATTCCCATATGTTTTTTCCTCTCAAGTTCTACATGTGTTCTTTCCGTTGTGATTACACCTATGTTCTCTTCCTCTCTATCGTTTACCCTCCCCTACCCCCCTTGACTACAAGTTCTTAAAAAAACAAAAATGATAAAATCTAAATTAATAATTAAAACAAACCGTGTATAAGTAATGAAAAATAAACGATTAATTATCGAAAATCTACATGAGATGAGAACGCCTAATAATTAAGATTATGAATTTACAAAGATATTTACACTTAAAATGAAAAATGATATGTAAAAGGGAGTCTTCTGTGGCAGCATAATATGCAGAAACTACTAGTACGACATTTAAATTAAATCTTGGGTCGTGAGATGTTTCGTAATCCACGTGATTCGAAATTATCCAATCATTGGGAAATAAAAATTTCGAATTCATCGTGGAGGAATGTGCATTAACGACGGTGATGTAATTAATTAACACGTAATCCCTTAATGTTATACTTTTTACCGGTGGTAGCACTTGGATGCGCGTCGAATCGAAAGAATTTATCCCATCCCCAACGAATTGTAAAAATAACAAAGAATGGGCATCAAACGTCTTGACTCGAGACGTTTTGAAATATGATAAGACTGACACTGACTAAGTGTTCGAATTGTTTTTAAAATAAAATTGACACAAAAATAAAAAAAAAATAAAAAGTAATGAAAATTCTCGACCGGGATATCAATTCGACGCGAATTGGAGAGCTGCACCCACCACCGGGCAGTTTGTGATATATTTAGTGAAAGACGGGAAAAAATTAACAAGAAAAAAGTGGAAAAAAATGGTTGTTATTAAGAATTAAAAAAAAAAAGTGACGAAGAGAAAGAAATACGCCTAGCGATATTACATCCACACTTACACACTACAATTATTATAGTGATATATGAATAAATAATCAGTAATTTATGTTGCTGAGGAGTGAGAAGGAACAACAATTGTAGCAATAAAATTCTTCATCGAGGTCGATGATTAAAATTTTTTATTGCAATTGTTCACAGTGGCTGGTGAAATTTTTTTTATTTTATTATGATGAATACGTAGTTGATGATAAATAGAAAGACGACGAGACGAATGGTCAGCCACTGCCGGTGAAGAATTGAATAAAATACGAGTGATATAACTGAAGGATTGACAAAAGAAGATGAGAAAATTAAAATTAATTGATGAATACATAACGATGACACTCACACACTATATATTGTAATATTATTTTTCGAAACTAGTAATGTAATGTAGATTATATTATAATAATGATATTGTAATAATCATTTCGTAATAGGATTAGGAAAGGATGGTGGTTGGCGGATTAAGGAGAATAAATTTCAAAGTGGGTCTGATCACAGTGCCCGACTGAATGTCCCCGGTATCAAGTATTTTTATCAATTTTTTTCCCCTCTATTTCATTTTCCTTTTCAATTAATTATGAGGATAAAATATGAAAATCATCACGAGGCATTCAGTCTGAGCGCTAGTGACAAGTGTACTGCCGTGAAATCTTTGATATTCCATTGAAGTGGATAACAAACGAAAAAAAAAAAAAAAACAAAAATGAAATGAAAAAATTCAACTGCTCCGTTTCTTCCGAAATACCACAGTCATTAATATTTTCCTTGCAATCTTCCAATCCCACTGTGCACTCAAACCCATTCGAAGAAACAACGTTTTTTTTTTCATCCAAAAACAACCACTGGCAGCTGAAGATAACTATTGTTATGATTTCATCAACTGAAACTAAAGTCAAAATAAAAAAATCTAAAATTTTATAAAAATTGAATGAAAAGTTATTATTTTGTTTAATCAAATTTTTTTTTTAATACTCATGGTATGAATGTTTTTACGATTAAATTGTACAAATATGCTGGCATGTTGAAAAAAAAGGTAGAGGAGGAACCAAATGACGTGAGAAAGAAGAAAAAGAGACAGAAATTTTCTCTAGAACGTACAAGTGGATTTCGAGATGTCAGATTCTCCTCCTCCCAGTGAATAATTTCTTATCACTCCATTAACTTGACGTTTTCTATTTTAAAAAATTCCCGATCACTTCAGCTTTGGAAATTCTCGAAAGCCACTTGCACCCTGAGATTTAGATTAACGAATAACGTGGACTGGAAGAATAAACAAAAAGTAAAAAGCATTGTGATGTCCGTATGATCAAATGTGTTGAGAAATAAAAAAAAAAAATAGGCCCACTGGTTGCGGCCCAACATTTCCGAGTACACTATGAATAATAAACATTATGTAAAAATTTATAACACCACCGAGTTCATTCAATACGGTTACCCATCAAAATAACAAAACTCAAAATATTACAACTAAAAATATTTCAACAAAGCACCCATTATTTCGAAAAATATATTCGCTACAACTATTTGTCAATATACCAATAATTTTTTAATATTTCAAATGACAAAAGAACTTGCGACACTTTCCAGGTGAATACTTTCGCGAAGTAATATATTTCCATTATAATATTTTGGGGAATAATATTTTTATTGAATAAAATGGAGAGCAATCACCATTAAATACCACCAGTTTCCTTAAATAGATATTTATTATTGTCAATTTTACATTTTACATAGCAGCTGTAGTGATATGATCGGACGAAATTCATTGAAGAAAACGAACGGGATTGCCTGTGGCAATTGACCTGATATTATCGATCCATAATCATCTGGCTATTTAATTAATGTCACACTGCACTGGGAATAATTATTTTTAATTCTACCCCTCACTGGGAGTCAGTCTGATCCGTTACCATTTGGAAGGCGATTATCGGAGTATCAATCATTCATCATCGACTCGTCCCTCACTATCTCCATGGCTCAGACTCGTCGAACATGTGCATAATATTGTCGCGCAGCATTTTCTCTTGATCTAAAAACGTCCAGGGGTCAGATAAAACATCAAATGCCATATCCTAACGGTAAATTTTTCGCCTACCTGGTGTTAAATTAGCAATAACACATTGTTTTCTCAGGAATTCCAAGCAAAGACTTCGTGCCAGTCCAAATGCATGCATGTTGCATGTAAAAGTCCTGGAAAGAAAATTTTATTTTCCATGCATTTCATTTGGAATAGTTTAAATATAATTTACCCCAATTGGCCGAAGACAATATTCGCCTGGAACCTGCGGTCTTCAGCGGCCAATGCCTCCTGATCCAGCGCCTTTGATCTCGATGGGACAGGCCTCATGGCCCTCTCACACTGAACAGCATCGAAGAATGCAGCTGTCCAAAATCTCATAGAGGACCAGATCGGTTGGACCCTGAGATGTGTGTACAGATATTCCCTGTATGGCTCAAGCCCAGGTACCTCCACTGCAAGAGGATTAATTAAAAAAGCAATAACTTGCCTCCCTTTGTGCTTCATTCGCCACGAAATAAATAGAGAAATATTCTTCATACCTTTATGATAGAATGTGAAACACATATTCATGAGACTCTTTGCCGGTGCAAAGTCATCAGCCTCGTGGCACTCGAAAAGCGCCAGTGCAAAGTGCTGGGCCAAAGAGTAAAAAGATGCCTCGGAGACACAGGCACGTGCTCGCCTTGCATTCACCACTCTCGCAAACCAAATTCTACCGGACTCAGTCTGTTGCCATGGAAAATGACAATTTATTAAATCTTGGCATTGTTTTATGAAAGCTGGCCAACACTCATTTCCATACATACGAGAACCATCTGGCCAAAGTTAGCTTTTTGCTCCTGATCGATTGTATCGGGAGCGTCAAAAAGAAGTGGCACAAAGGCTTTCATAAAATCTGCGGCAGCCTCTTCTGATTGACTGTCAGCCGACAAGCTCGATGCCCATGATTGAACTGATCCAGAGGACCCTGTCAAAGTCAGTTCAAATATTTGATTTTTACATTTATCTACGTGTCACACTTTGAATATAAAATTCTCCCTTTATCACTCCGTTTTCTATTCCTATCAATCGTTTGATTGTTCATTCTATTTTATTCCTCGTTTTTTGTCAATAGGAGAAATATTTTGTTCAAATACCTGATCTCTCCCACATCCTACGACCATCCATATTCGAATCTAAACTCGTACTAGGCCCATATCCATCCAGATCACTAGCTGAGCCACTACTACACGGAATATCTATAATAACACCATTCATAAATCATTATCCCCGATACATAAAAAATCCGGTACCTTCTAAAAGCACATCAATTTTCTATCTTCGACTACAATCGACAGTCCACACAGTTCTACTAACAATAAGCAATACATCAGTACTCCGCTGACATCCGCCCTCTTCACACGAATTTCACAATTCTGTATCACCAAGTGAATACCATTCTCCAACAAATGGATCAACACTCATCATTGCACAGGGTATATAACTAAAAATTGTCATAACAGTGATGCAAAAGAAAACACAGGAATTTGCCAACTCACATGTTGTAATTAATACATTAATCATTTCATTTTTTATTTCTTAATTTACCTAAACAAAAAACGACTGTCTCATAGCGATCTGGGGCCCTTGCTTTCAGTGGAAAAAGAAAATGGTGAGTTCTCTCGTCAATGAATAATCATTTAAATAAATTAAAATGAGTTGTAAAGAGATAGAGATATAGGCATTGATGCGTTAATTATATTGCGGCAATTCTTACCCGTTTTGTAATTGAGTTTGTCAAAGGGATCTGGGCCAGTTGCTTTGATGTCTTTTTCCTGAAGTGGCTCAATGCTCTCTACACTCGATCTATCGGGACTGATCTCTTCGTCAGTCTTCACTTCGGATTTGTGAACTATTGGCGCTCTCGAAGAAGCTATTTCCTCGTAAGTCATTCCTGGTGGGAATTTTCGATTATTTCGTGAATACTCGGGGTACGTTTGGCGTTCTAGCTTCTGCCTGGCCATCGCCTCGTAGTCTTCGTATGAATATCCACTGAATCTAGATTGAAAGGGAGTTGGAGTTATTGGGAAATGAAATATTCAGATTGCCCATGGAGATGTTACCGAGGCAAACGAAGTTTCCTCCTGGCAACACCATCGACTTGATCTTTCGATAAATCTTGTCCTGGAGAGGGCGACGGAGGAGAGGATGGTGTCGTCGTAATATCACTCTCTTCGAAGCTGCTACTGAGGGCTGAGCCAATTCTATTGCCAAGCCCTTGGAGGTATTCACCACCTCCTCCGAGGGCTGTGCGCATCGATTTCAGGGCACCACGTGTTTTTCCCATCAAGGAACCACCGTTCGTCGATGGCAAGGGTGCAGTTACGTCGACCATATTCTGAATAATATAATAATTTATACAATGATATAGTCGGAATAGTCGGAATTAGATCGAGGAAGGAGGAAAATGGTTTTAGTACGTACAGGAAAACTCGAGAAATGAGCGAGTCAGCGCATTGATCCGCAATATTCCTCCCTAAACTAAACTATTCGCAAATTTTCATAACAAGGCAAATCTGGAAAACCAAGTTGTCCTCGAAACGATATCGCGCTCATTCCAGCATATCTCCTGCCAGCCGGCGCATTTCTCAAGGCAATACTAGTACGATAAGAAGGCTAAACCACAATTTAACAGGCGTTTGAACATTATTAAATCATTTTTAATTACTCCAGAAAAATTGAACAATGATCATCAAATTCATTTTATTCTAACCCATTGCTGAAAAAATAAATCGACGGAAATGAATTTGAAATATTAATTGAAGCCTTCTATCAGTGCAGCAGTCAATTTTCTTTTCCTGTTTTTCTTGCGAGCTATGATATAACTGGGACCGGCGACTAACGTTATTTAATGAGCGGAAGAGAAAAAGAACGGAAATAAATTAAAGATCGGACAATAATTTTTATTTATCGAACCTCATTTGAATAGTAGGAACGCAGATTGATCGGGATTTAGTTTGGAAAAATTGTCAACGCAATATATTTTATCGAATATATCGTCGCGAATATTATCCCAGTAACTGATACAACAAATATCGTATATATTCAGTTAGAGACAACTTCTAACAGTTTTCGATTGACCAGCGGCAATTCATCTTCCACAGTTGGTTATTTAACGGGGGGAAGTTGAACGGAAATTACCTATTGTCATGGGACCATAATGGATTCATGAATGAAACACCTGTAACCGGCGATTTTATCTTTTCTATTGATCGACTACTTTTTTTTCAGACTGCAGTGCGGTACAGTTTTACTAGTGCCGCATGCTCCTCAGCAATCGATTAAATTCATTTTCAATGAAAAAAAAAGCGCTATTTCTTTTTCCCTCAGTAAATGTAAATGAATTACCTGTTAATTGAATATCAACGGACGAATACAGCTACAAAGGAATAGAAATAAAAATATTAGTGTACCTGTTATTTTTTGAATGCGTCAGAAGGAATATCTCTGTATCATTCGAATCCTCCGCCGAATAAATACAAATAAACACTCAACAAGTTCCAAAATCATTGGTCTTTCATCACAACTATTTCAATTGTATTTCTTTATTTCTGTAAACTCAATCGCTGGCTTCCCTGAAACACCGCGCAATGACAGATCACACGTGATAATATTGTAGGTCTGCGCAGTCACAGAGTCAAATCAATACTGCCCGCATACGTCCCATACCGAAACATGCTGTTGCATAAAAATTCATTTCCACCACTGCAATGCACCTTCTATCCACTTTGAAATGCAAAACAACAAACATTCCTTTGATTTTCACTTTATTTTGGTATCAGCATGCCTCGTTCTCATTCACTCATTATATATCCGTAAATTATCTTCATTTAGAAACTACGTGTTGTTTATAAAAACAGCTTGAAATTAATTCATTCTAGTTTATGAGTGTTTACATAAATCAATGGCATTGTTTCAATTGGATTAATTTACATATTGACAATTTTTTAATTACAAAAGAGTGGATGATGTGGCCTTCATAAGTTAAAAATGTAACAAGATTGTGGGAATTCACTAAAAGAAAGAGAATATGTCTCTGAGACGAATGGTAATGGAACTATTTCCACGCCTGTTTCTGTGCTTTCTGTGATGCCAATTTTTTTGTCACATACGATGAGATCAGGAGAGCTGCGAGGACTATCACGATGAGATAATAATCAAAGTCTTCTTTCAGAACGTCGAATGTTTTCGATGGGGCGACTCTCGTGTAGAATAAATCTAGAATAATGGCGTTGCATTCAGAGAGAAATAGAGATGTTTGTTTGAATTTTTGGAGGATAATTATTATAATTATTGAAAAAGGGATAATTACCAAGACCGTGTGCGAAAACTAAACAGGTACTTTCAAGGCCACTGGGACTTGTGTGAATTCCTGATACCCTGAATACACTTTGATTGTAGTTGATAATGGCATCCATGTGAATGGGTATTTCCGGCATGTAGGGAATTACACCTTCTTCTCGTAATTCAGGATTGGTGGGTCTTCTTGGATCAACCATCATCCAGGGTAACTCCAGAATTCCGCCATTAGCTAAAGCCACTATAAATGAACATGAATGATTGAATTGATTAAATAAATAAAATTAAATGAAACGGGTGAAGAAAAGAATGACAAATTTGTGTACCTAGAATATGTTTACTCGTTATTCCCTTCTCAGTAATAGTTTCTCTCATTGATTCAATGGAAGCAGGGAAGATGAATGCTTGTCGCTCTACCATAGGTAGACGTGTTGTTGTCAATGATGAAAACACAGTGGTGTTACTCTGCACTTTTCCCTCGTAAAGCTCTAAAGTTGCTATTTCAGTTCTACGACTCTTATCGTTGTAATAACTATAAACAAGCCAGTTCTCGGAGTGAACTATGTGAGTGGGACCACGCACTCGTTTGTGAACTATCGAGAATATCATGGCTCCTGAGACTACATCCAGGAGATACAAGGTCATCGTATTCTTCAGGGTATTACCAACACCCTGGGTAACAACAGCAACTAAATTGGGATTGATATACTTATAAAGTACTGATCTGTCACCCAGAACTCGTCCCTGAGAGTGGACACGTTCGATTGGACTCTTCGATACAACATGGGTGATCTTTTGATTTTTAGGAGCTAGCACTAGTTCCCACACTTTATGGGCTATTAATTCCTCAGGTGTACTGTACCCAAGGGAAAATCCAGCAACAATACCAGTACCAGCATCAGCAGTGAACAAATACGTGCTCTTGCCATTGGTAGCGGCCACAGCAGTTGCATTCTCCGGAAAAACATGAATCTTATCCCTCGAGTCGAGAAGTAAAATTGCCCTGAGGAAATCCTCAGTGGCATCGTGTAAGAGCATCGATTGCTTCACCTTGTATCCCAGTTTAACCAGCCCATCTAGAGGCTGTCCAGTTATTGGATTGAACGTGTAAATAATACCCTCTCCAGTGTTCTTATCGGTTGATAACAGAGCGCACTGTGGAGGATATGGGAAATGCCTGCTACCACGTTGAACGTACAAAATCAATGGTTTAGAATCTTTTTTCTCTGTGGCAATGTCTTTAACTCTCAATTGCCAAATAATTTCCCCTTTCTTCGACTCGATACCAAATAATTTTCCTGCCGATGTCACCACAACGATCATCTTATGGAGACCAAATTTATCTCTCACCAGATCTGCCCTCTGATTCGATGCTTGGGGAGTTACGCCGAACGAGGACTGAAGGAATGATTTCAGTTGATTAAATTGAGCCGTCACTCGTCTCGTCATCATCCCTATGACATCCCCTGGGAGAAAAAAAAATGATTTTGATTGCTGGAATGAAGAAGACACGAGACCAATACATTCCTAGTTCTAAAACTACGAGAGATAAATTATTTTTTGAAGTTCATGCGACCGAAGTTGTCAACTGCATACCAAAGGATCCTCACAGTAATTGTTTAGAATTAATGTGGCGGTGGATATAATAATATCACCACCATTTGATGAATTTATGCGGAATAATCACACCCTCATGCTGTTACGAGTTCATACCCCATGCATTTAAATTTTATGTACATCGAATACTAGATCTTCAATGGGATGGAGTAAGAGGTTTCTAGCTATCAAAGACTCATCGAAATTCTACAATTCGACTATCTAGGAAATTTTTAGGTCTTGTTGAAAACAAAATGAGAAAAATCTCCAAACCAGCCTATCCTGCAATAACTACTTACATGAACTGTCTATATCGATACCTGCCAGCAGCCATTCACAAAAGAAACTTTATTAATACCATTTTTCAATTAGTTCATACACGTTTCAGAGGAAATTGTATGTGATTATTATCACCATCAACTGTCAATCAAATAAACCCCAAATTTATTTACCATTTCATTATACTATTGCAATTTATTCTATCGAGTAAGAAAAAATTGGAGACTTTTATAATTAATTATGGGAATTGATGTCGAGAAGGAATGAGACCATGCAGTCTGTTAGATGAGCATCGCGATCGATCCAGTATTATTTTTAAAAAATTCCCATCGACTGATGGAAAGTTAATAGTAATTGAATATCAATAACTCACTCTCTTTCTGATCAAATTCCGTCTCGATAGTTTGATCTCTGTCAGACATGGGCAGCTCCATCATCTCAACGAGGGATATGCTGGCCAATGCCTCCTCCCTCGACCAGACCAGTTTATTGTGCTGCAGAAGAGCAACTCCATCGTCTTCAGAACTAACTAAATGCCGGCAAATTACTCCCTTTGACATTCGTGGACAAATGGATGCTTTCATGCTGGGGAAAAGGAGAGCACCGTGGGATATTGCCGCTGAGAATTCTGGCATCGGGGTAGATTCTAATAGAGTCAATGCTTTTATTTCGGTTACCTGAAATAAATAAAAGTGCAATTTGTTTATTTAAAATTTGGCCCCTTTGCACTTGATTAAAGGACAACGGTCTTGATTATTTACCCCATTACGATAAGTAGTTTCCAAAAGTACTTTCTCCTCATCAACACTCGTAACATAAAGTCTAGCGTCACCCTCGATATCCCTTAGAATGATTTTCGGTGTATCGCTAGGCATCATGATACGTTTTCTATTATCTCCCTCAGCAGTGATTGATAAAACTGAGTCGTCCCCTGGGACTGCCTCCAATTTGAATGGACCCTGAGCTCCAGCCCCGAATATATTATTACTAGTCACTGAATGTGGCTGTGCATTTGTATCGAATAAATTCACGAGAAAGAGAATTGCCAGTGACGTATCACTCTTGAGGCAGGCTAAATATGGTGCTGCCAATACGCATTCTGTTTCTGCTGTTATGAACGGCGCTGAGACCTTTCTGGTTTTTAATTTCTCTCCAGTTTTACTGTCATACGATGTCACCTCAACTCCACTACTATAAATTGGCAGAATATGGTGGAGAGTGCCGTCTTTGATGTGCCATTTGACATCTTCCAATCTAATAGAAAATATTCATAATCAAGCACATGTAATTCATACATTTTAAACACAAATCAATGTGAAAGTTACTTCTCATGTGATGCTTTAAACACGCTAGACTCATTGACAAAACACTTAGTGAAAATAATTATACATGTGCTATGCGATAGAATAATCAAGAAACCTTTCGACAGAATATAATCCAACTGTGGAAAATGATAGAAATGGGGTGTCTAGTCTGAAAAATTAATAAATCATTTTCTCAGGATAGAATTATTAAAAATTAATAACTTGGAGATCAATCGGAATTATTGAGGGATGTATAGGAAATTTATTGATTTAATGAAAATTTCATCACCGCTCAGGATTTTGCTCTGCAACTGGCCACTCGTTGAGGATGTGTCCAGCAGCTAAATCCCAAACGCGAACAATTGCAGGGACTCCACCGCTCACAGTTATCAAATCTCCATCTGCTACACCACTCAGGGAACGAATTCGTCCAGCATAGCCACGTTCCAACACTCGCCTCCATATTATTTGGCCTATTATTAGAAATTACTCTTTAAGTAAAAAATTCAAGCATCAACTTGGCTCAATAGATTAAATTTTCATTCTGGCGTTACCTGACTTCAAATTGAGAGCTGCAAGTACATTCTCCTCTGTGGCAACTATTATTTTCTTGGCAGTCGATACTGTATCAAAACTAGAAAATTTGATTCTTCCTACGTAATTCTGTTTCCTATTGGGAATCACCATGAATTCATGAATATTTAATTATTATAGATCCTGTTAGAACAGTGTGATAGAAATGAATTGGCGCAGTGAAATATTTACCAGTCGAATTTACCAACTTGATCTTCATAGAGACACAATGAAAAATTAAACAATGAGAATAGAATAATGAAATACTGAAGCAATTGTCCATCCGTGATAAACCGGTGGATATTTCCCTTGAAAGTCCACACGAACGGTGCCATGATTAACAACTATATTATCATTATCACAAATGAATTGGGTTAGGGTTGAACTGCAGGCAAGTTCTCAATGGTTCTCAGTATTCCAGTCGTATTTCGTGGAAATCGTCCCACATATATTTGTGTCCAAAGAGGACATTCCGTGTGGCACCCTCCCTCTCTTGGGGTGCAGTACTACGATGCCGCTGGGGTCATTCAAGCCCCTCGAACTGAGCCTCTACTTTAGTTAATCCTCTTTGGTTTTGACAGTAACTCCAAAAAACTGGATCATCATTTTTTAATTAAAATTATTGTTGTCGAATAAGAAAAAATGAAAGTCGTGTGTGCTGCACCAACCTGCAAATACTCCTCTGACCATGAAGACTCGAGTAATATTATTTTTGTCAGCTTTCCAAATGATGATACGTAAGTAATCACGTTTATATTTATTTACTCTTAATTTTATCGAATTTGTTATGGCAATTTGTTTAGTGCCACTGTATGGGCCCACAACTGTGGCAGATCAGACCTGATTATTAAATCAAATGAAGAATTGCATCTGAATTACTATATTTGCTCAAACCATATTGAAGATCAATATTTTTTGAGTAAAAGCAATCAAATAATCATCACTCAAGGGGCAATACCAACACTTTTTGGGCTTCAAATGCAATCAGTGGAATCCACTGATGTTATAAATTCGATAGAATTGAGCGAACAAAATTTTGTGGATGCAGCATCAGAATATGAACATACAATCTACAATGGTAATATTACTAATGATAACAACGAATCAGATGAAATTAATGAAAACGAGGAAATCCGGAGAATTGAGAATATTAATGTTAATATGGAGGAGTTCGAAGAGATGGCGAGATTCTTAAATCTCTGTAGAATATGTGGAAAAAATCCACCAGAATGTGTCAACATATTTAATGAGAGAGAAGGTGCACTCACCATCCAGCAAAAAATTCACCTTCATTTACCGATAATTATCGAAAGTGGAGATGGATTGCCACAGAAAATATGCTTAGAGTGCCATGAAAAGGTGGAAAGCTCCCATACTCTTGTGATAACTAGTTTATTGAATGATATAAGATTGAGGAAATTTCTAAATTTACCAAATAAGGTAAGAAAGACCTGAGATTACCACAAAAAATTCTTCAACTTATTAAAATTTCCGTTTTTCAGTATAATTATGAAGAAAAATACCGTGACTTCATACCAAACGAGGAATTGGTAATAACAAACGAGGTACCATTCTTTGGTGGTATCCCGTCTGAAAAGTCACGTTCTCAAGAGTCTGAAAAAGAGAAACAATTAAAATACGTTGTACATTCTGATTTAAATAATTTAATTCTTCAACCTCTGCCACTCCAAAATGATGAGAGATCAAAGACTGATTTACAGAGTGAGCCCGTGGTGTCAAGAGCCGATCAATTCCACAGTCAGGATAATAATGAGCCGGTGTTGATAGAAAAGTCAAATTGCCAAGTTGAAGATGTGTTGAATAATAAGAATGAAATATTGATGGCTGAACAGACATTAGTCAGATCAAGTCGTCGATGTGGTTACTGCTCTCAATCCTTCTCCAATCGTAAAGAAATTCAGGGACATATGACGGAGGCCCACAATGGCCAGGGCTCACTCTTCAAATGCGGGACTTGTGATAAATCATATGAGAAGTGGTCCAGCCTGGATGTTCATGAGGCCACTCATCGACAAGACAAGCCCTATCTCTGCGATCTGTGCGGGAAGAGCTTCAAACACTCAAATAATCTCAGAGGGCATAAACGCGTGCATCTCGATGCTGCTAGGAAAAAACGACACATTTGTGAGACCTGTGGAAGTGCTTTCCGATCCAGGTAAAATGAAAATCATGATGATTTACGAGTAAATAAATTGCCTGTCTTAAGTTGTATTTTTTTTTTATTCCACTGAGATTCCACCTGCAAGAACACATGAACCAACATAATGGTAAGAAGCCCTACGTCTGTGAACAGTGTGGAAAGGCATTTTCCAAGAGAATACAATTACGACAGCATAGATTGTCTCACGGAATTAATAAATACGCCTGTCCAATCTGCGGTGCGACTTTCAATCGAAGGGGTAATATGAATACGCATTTCAAGAGACACAGCAACAGTGATGGAACGTACAAGTGCAGTGTAAGAGTTCTTCATTTATAAATTTATTTCTAATTTCGATATAATTTTTAATAGTATCTATTGAATTAACACTGCTCAGGTGTGTGATTGCAAGTGCAATTCGATGAGCGATTTGAAGCACCACCGCAAGAGTCACAGCTTGAACGATATAATCGAGAGTATAAAACGCCGATCCATTGACAAAACCATCTGGCAATGTGCAACGTGTAGACGTGTATTTTCGAAACGTACACATCTGACTAATCACGAGCGAACCCACGAAGTTGATCAGCCGAAAGTCGAGTGTGAGAAGTGTGGAAAAAAATTGGCGAGCAAGAGCTCCTTGAGGTATCACATCAAGTCAATGCACACGTGCGAGAGAAGCCACCTGTGTCAATTCTGTGGTGATGCATTTATCTCGAGAGAAGCCAGACTCATTCACGAGAGAATCCACACTGGAGAGCGACCCTATTCCTGCAAATTGTGTAATATGCAATACAGATGCTCAAGTAATCTGAGTCAACATATGAAAGCTCATGCCGATGTTCGACCTTTTGTTTGTCAGTACTGCTCCAAGTCTTTTACACGGAGATCAGCTCTCATAATTCATGAGAGAGTTCACACTGGGGAGAAGCCATTCGTCTGTTCAGTGTGCAATCGAAGATTCTCTCAAAAACATGACATGAAGAAACACGAAAAAATCCATCAGTCCAAAATATTGAGTTGCGAAAAATGTCAGGAGACTTTTGCCAACAAGATGGAAATTGTTAAGCACCTGGAGTCTCACCACAAACCAGATACCCAGGATACTGCACCTGTTGAGGAGTATGTTGAGTTGTCAGAAAATTTTGACAACTACTCGTTAAATATCAGTGATATTCAATATTCGTGATTGTAAATAGGAAATATGATGTCAAGGAGGAAGGAGAATAAATCGTAATAAACATTGCTATATATAGAATAATATACTCTTTATTGTTTTTTATGGTTTTTGTTGCTGTCCATATTGTGTGGTTTCTTCTCTTTTTTATTGTTTTCCATTTTCTTTTTTGCCACTGCCGATATTTTGGTAAAACAGTACGTGATACAACTTTTGCTGCTAAAACAACGACCGATCACACGTTCGCATTCTGCAACTTTAAACCGCTTGAGACTAGATTTATCGTTATATCTTTTTAACTTTATTTTTGTTCCACAAGTCTTAGCTTTGAGTAATTTATTTCATAATTTTCACATTTATAACATGAGTCAAAAGTTCTGCACTTTAATTCAGCCAATTAATTAATCCAATTAATATTTTTCCAATGCGGTGTAACAAAAAGTGCAGGGGAATCGCGAGTGATCGGCTCGCTTTTTAGAAATATACTGTGCATCATGAAACATTGTTTTTTTTTTCTGTCTATTTGTTTATCTATTAAAGAAGTACGCCCAAACTCGAAGCACACAGTGGACAAAGCGAAACTATAAAACTCGTAATTACTATATTTTCTCATAAATAATTTAATTATTTAATTCGAATCTCGTCAATTGATTTAACAATTTTTTTTGTATTTTCCATTTTTTTTTTTCTCATCTTTATGGAATCGCTCGTTTTGTCCCGTTATTTCGAGTTCACAGCGTAGATTCTTATTCGATGCAACTTTAACTGTCTTTCTGTAAACCTTCATCCTCTCCGCTACTATTTACAATGTACAGTGTTGTCTTTCCTGCCCTAAGTTTCCCGAGGCGTTGCTTGATCTCCCATGATTCACAATATTTACCCCACTCAATTAAATTTCTCCACTAATTAATCAAAAAATTGGCAAGACATGATTGAGAATAAGTATGAAGTGTTTCTAGATTTGAATTAACAAATATAAAAAAGAATATGCTCAAAATGGATGCATGATTATAATAACAACTCAGGCCATTTTCACTGAATCAACTCCAAAGACAAAGTCGAACCGATTGATCGACTAGCGCCGAGAATCCACACGACCAGCGTGAAGAATTTGCGCAATTAATAATAAACAAAATAAAAAAATCTCCGTCACTTTTAATTTCAACGAGTACTAATATTGGAAGATAAATAGTCACTGCAGGGAATAGTGTCGTTAGCACGATTCTCGATTAAGTCGATCGTCATAGGCCGAACGAGATTGGAGAGGGTAGATTAAAAAAAAAAAAAGGGAAAATTTATTTCTTCTTTAGGCTCAAGATTGATGAATTTGTAGATCAAGTGAGACCCCGCACACGCCTTGTTCACTTACCAAGGTAAATATATAGTAATCTTATATATATACTTCTCGTTCTCATATATATGTATATATATAATATATAATATCTTATGTATATTTTTTTAAATTTTTATACCTATTTTTTTATCTCGTCACTTAAAATGTACCTTTTTCATTACTATTTATATTATTTACAATTGTTCTTTCTTGTTTTTTATTTTTTTTTATTTTCTTCACCTTTGTAGTCACCGAGTAATCAATAATTCTTCATTGTGAAACGTATAAGAAACAACTATGCCGTGCACAGCCCACTAATCTCTCGAGCAATTGCATTATCCGTTCAGTCACACTTCCGCACAAAATTTCCCTTAGCACTTGAAATTATTCAGATTGCGCCAATGTTGATGGATCAACGAAAGAAAATTTTGAGTTTTAAGGAATCGCTGCCTCCTACCATCCACCCCTCGAAAGGCCTCTCTAACTAACGAGACGCGTCCCGCCGAATTACAAATTATATTTTTTTGCCGCTATGTTTTACCTCCCCTTCATTTGAGTATTTTTTTTGACAAATTTTCTGTTGTTAACAATTTCAACGGATTCGTCCACTCAATTCACACATTCCCAGTAGATTGGAAGAATCAATAGAGAAAATGAAATAATTTTTAAGTTAATATTGCTTGGACAATAAAGATAACTATAATTGCAATTGCGTTAATTTCAATGAATAAGTGATTTGAATTAATCAGTCGAGTTTGTCCTCTTCAACTATTCAATTTGCTGTATTACTCTCCTTGTTTTCATTTCAATATCATTAAGTATAGCTGCACTTGTTGGACATACTGGACACATGATTTCAGTGCATTGTTAATGCTTTGTCCATTGTTGACAGAAATAAAAGGTTATCTCGCATATCAGCGGCTCGTCATACGCATTTTTTTGTTAATTCTTTTTTTTTTGTAAACTACTTTGGAGATCATTAACGTAGTGACGATTGCTACTGCAACAATAAACCCTATAATTCTCTTTCACCTTTCATCTCTAAATAATTTAATAAATCCAGGTACTTTTTGACGGTATTCTTTCATTCCTCATATAAACGCGATTGGGATGGCGGTACGCGTCTACGCTCGCATGCAATTTCATTAAAATTGTTGAAAAAAAAAAAATAATAAAATATTCTAATTTATCTCATCACAAGTCACAAATGAAATTGTCAATTAATCGGCGATTCTGTTGCATTTTGGCTGAGATAGATAGCGTATTTGTAAAAAAGCACCATTTTTAACAGTGGAAAATGGGAATGGGAAGAAAATGAAAAAAAAAAACTATGTATGTTTGTGTGCAGAATCAGGTGTGAGCGTAGGCCACGACGGTAGGATACCGTTCAAACAACGCCAGCATAATTAATAACCGATAAAACACGTGTATAATTGTCATGTTTGTAAATAAATTTGAATGATGGTGGGACGTGTTGAGGTTTAATTCTGGGATTGTCAACGCTATCCAGCTAGGCGGGCGATGTCTTCTAATCGATTGTGAGCCGTTATGGAGAATATTGAGGAACCGTCGAGGCAATACGTTATGAATGAAATTGACACTAAAATGTTTAAAACCTCGACGGAATCCCTGGTCATTTGAAATTGCTCAAAACCGTGCATCCCCAGCCCGGGGGGAAAATAATTCGTTGAAAATCCAAGAAGTTACGTCACATTGCCAACCTGATTATCACACAGGTGCGGCACGCATTTTCACTTTTGTTCATTAACAATAAATCAAAATTGAATTTAGGATTATTGAGTTGATCAAGAATTTTGTGACTTACTTGGTGATTAAACGAATGATCTAAAAGAATTACAAGATTAACAATAGACTTGGAACCGAGGTAAATGGTAATGGAGTGGCATGTAATTGACACGAGCCGTATTAGTTTCTCCCTTTTCACGTGAACAATAAATAAAACGTTGATTTTTGATGCGGCCAATAATAATAGTTAGCGTATAACAGTATAGCGGGGTCATCCCGTTTATACCCAATGATGTGGCGCTGTGCATCGTTGCGTCCTCGCGGTTTTTCTTTTTTCGTTTTAATTCTCAATATTTTCTTGTGACATACAACAAGAATAATGATCGATGATGAGTTTTTCGAGTTATCGAGTCATCGAATTACCGAATTACCGAATTACCGAATTACCGAATTTACGATTGTTGGAGTTATCGAGGTATCGATTGGCCTAGCTGATGAATATTGGTTAATGATAAAATTTTATTTACCCGGCTGCGTAAGTGGATAAAAATCGATGAGATGGCTCAAAGACGCCAGTATTGGGGGCTATGAACCAACGCACATGAGTGATTCGTGCGTACTACTGGTATTACAAGCATTTGTTGTTGCTGTTGTATTTGTGCTAATTGATGAGGTGACATGATGATGATGATGGTGATCCTGCGTTGCGGTTGACGCAGTAACAGAGACATTTGTACTTCTCAGGATATCGTCAGCTGATAGTGGTGTTAATTTCCATCCAGGCATAAAGTCTAAGTCTAATTCAGGAGCAATATCAACATCAAGTAACTCGTTGTTGTTGAGAGGATCGAGGGGCGATTGACTGGATAATGATAATACACTGCCCCAATTGATAGAGCGGCTGTCATCACTATCACCAATACCCGAATCTACATCAGTTTCACTAGATGAGGTGGGTGGCATTGGAAAAGGTGTAAGTCTACCTTGCTCAGGTGGTTGTAATTGGGCCATTGGTGCTTGTATAACTGGCTCCATTGGCGGTGGACTTCTGTCCCTCTCCATCTCTCTTTCAAGATGCCTCAGGGTATTGCATATGAGTACAGATCGATGTAAACTTGGATCGGGAAATTGACGATACCTAGCGAGTTTACACATTGATATATTAAGGACGGCTAGTCTACGTTGTCTATAACACGCTCTACCGCGTCTACACCAGCTTGATCTTGAGCCCTCGCAGCATCTCTCGTTTGCACGGTAACTCGAGCCCAATTCCAAATAACTCTTTCCATTCTCCTCCCTTCGTATCGTCGGTGGTTCGTAATGATGCGGTGTACCCCACTGTGGCTGGGGTCTCGATAACTGATTGTAACCATTGCTACTGCTACTGTTACGCTGATGATGATAATAATGCTGTGATGGATGATGCAACTGGCTAGCTGCAGGCGGTGAACTTGTCGGTATGGTTGCTTGGCATGGATTTGTTTGGCTCAAACACGGTGAACTAACTTCCATCTCGTAGTACGATGATGACGATTGATTAACTTGCGGTGTGTAACTCTCCTCCATTGCCCACCAGCTGCCCTCTACTCTACCAAGTTTTGATGGGCTCTCACTCATGTCCATGTCGAATTCCATGCAGCCCACACCTCCCTCCAGTTTACGTTTACCTGCCGTGGCCTGCAGACCCATCATTGCACAACTCTGCAACAAATAATTCATTCATCTCATCAATAACCCTCATTACATCCCAAATTTCATAATTTCGCGTTACGATCTACTCTCTCTACGATAGCAATAACAATATTCCGAGTATGTACCAATGTCTGTCTCACAGTCAGACAGACAGTGTGACTCAGAGCCTCGGCTTGCTCATGATGAACCTCCGAGGATAATGACGTCACCTCCCCTACACGCCGAAGAAGTCATCGGTGGAATGAACGCTCTACATTGTAATCATTGATTCTGCGTGGCCCCTTTGCCGGGATCACCAGTCACCTCGGAAAAATGAGAAAATCATCAGGGGAAGGGGGAAAAATTATTTTTAGTGGCATCTCGATCACCTAAACTTGCCCCAGGAGAAAGTAAGATGATTGCATCTGAGAATTCGAAAGTCGCGGCTTTTTCATGAGAGCCCCTGACGCTCTAAGAGTTCAGGATAACTTCACGAGGTGCCACCACGAGTATCACCTGTACTTCGAGAGCTCACTTGATGGCATTCAAGTTTCTCAAACTTCACCGCAAAATATATATAACTGCATAACACCCCGTGGAGCCCATACTATTTCCCATGCTTTATCAGCCAACATTATCCCTCATTATCTCTGCGCATTCAAACGACAATTATTTAAAATTTAATTGCCGTGATAGTGCGGGGGGTTGAAAATTTACATTTTCCGAGGGCAACACGGTTAAAGGCCTGGTAAACGCCAGGCGTTTACAACCGATAATAGCCAACGCGTGGAGCACTTGTTGAATCGGGGAAATGTAGAAGAGGGAGTCAAGAGGAGAGGGTCAGCGTAACGGATTAGCCGGAGAGTGCGGTAGAGAATTGCACGCGCCTTTCAGCTGTCCATAAATCAAAGTCAAGAAACGGCACAGCCCTCTATTGCCACTTTGGGCCACTTCTCCTTCTAGCTACTCTCAAAATGCCTTGGTGCATCTTTTGCTAACGAGGGGGTTGCACGCTTCCAATTTATTCCCTTTATTCCCATTCCCTTCTGTCACTGCATTAAATATAATTACAATTCATGATTACTCTATTCGGCAGTCAGCCCTCACGCTCAGGTCAGGACAACTCCGGTTTCATGGTTTTTTTATTTTTTTTCATTTTGAAAATATTAATTCATTGGAAATTTTTTAGCAGGCATGAGAGTGACTGGTGCATTGACGATCGGGTATCGTTGGTGAGTATGAACTCGGGGAATGACGTCAACCGTGTGTTATTTTCGAAAGAGAACAGAGTCGAGAAATTACGCTGCGTCGCAACGAGATACCCAAAGGCTGACTTTAACATTTTCATTTCATTTGAAATTCTCATCCCTTGAATTGCTCATTTATTTTTTTCTTTTTCTCTTCCAACTTAATGGGTTGACTCGACTTTTTTGAACTTGAGGAAAATCGTGGAACAAAGTCCACCAAGATTAATCGTCACGGCGCTATCGGAGACGGATAAGATTGTACTAAACGAGGCATGCACTCATAATTTCAAGGACTTGACACCATCAAGTGGCTTCAACATCAGGGGATCGTATCTATCCTTCTCAAATAATTAGCTGATTTTCGTGGAGTAAATCTTGCAAGACAAAAGCAGGCCAAGTGTGATTCACTCGGTCACTCCCTTATGTATATCCAAGTATATAGAGAAAATAGAGAATAGGGGAGTGAAGTAAATGGCTTACCCCATATACCAAACAACCCCAACGAATATACCGAGTAAGGCTTGCATTGGGGGAAAAGGAATAAAGGAAGCTTCCCCCGTTGGAGGGGCTGGCGATCCCTCACTCTAGCTATAACAGGAGCTCCCAACCGTCATCCCCCCATTTCCCTTTCTTCCAACTCGCATGAGATTCTTACTGCTGCTCCCCAGAGATCATTCTCCATCCAAAAGATCACAGGAAAATTGTTGGAAAAATTGGTGGTACCCCGCACTCTATAATCTCTACGATAATTGTCTTCAAGTTTTTCCCAAAAAATTTGAATCAATTGGAATCATTGGAGGAGCAAATATATTTTAAAGTTAAAAATAAACATTTTGCGGGGTCCATTGACGAATGAATTGATGAAGTAATTGATAAAACGGATAAAAGGGAAAAGTAACCGGAACCACGCGCTGCCGACGGTAAGTAAGCGGCCACAGGAGAAGGAATCCACGTGTACATCAACTCAAACTTTGTATTTCTCCGCCCTACCACCACGTCGACAGGATGAGCGGACCGTGTGTGGGGTGTACAGTAGACACAAGGGTGGCTACGAGGAAGAGGAGAAAAAAAAAGAGCCATATGGCAGGCAACCCGCGTGGGAGACAGGGGGACTCGGGGTTCCCCGCTTTTCTCATCCCGCATATATGCCCCTTCCCCCTTTTCCCTTGCTATTACTCATTTTTTCCATTTCCATTTCCAAATGACGATCCCTTTTTTTTTTTTAATTATATTGCAGGATAAGTGAGGAAAATTGAAAGGGCTGGATAATCTCGGACAGGTTCATTGATCTCGCCTGGGGAAGGTTTTTTCTTCTTGTTCATAAAACAGTGACCGAACCCGCGAAAATTGCACACAATGACAGCGATTATTGTAGACGGGGGTAAGTAAAGGGAAGTGAGCCTGTAAAAAATTAGACGATTCACTGTGTGTAGAACCTGTTTCACTGGTGCCTGTGGAGTTGGCGCCCTCGGCCCTCAAGGATCTCGTCCTCTGCAGAAAAGACTCGACTTTTCCGACTACTTTTTATCATTTTTCAATGACTTCTCAATGGCACTGCATGCAGGTGAATAAATAAAAAATGAAAAAATTATAATTTACGACATTAAAGGTTGCGGGGATAAGAAATGTCTCCTTTTTTCTCTCCTTCCTTTTTTTCATTTCAATTCAAAATAATATTGGTGTTTTTTTTTTGATTGAATGAATCGATGGCACACCTGTTACACTGGTGCTGATTTATTGAGTATTAATAATTAATAGATTGTCTATTGAGTATTAATAATTAATAGATTGTCGTTTGTCGTTCTTTTTAGGGTGAAAATGGGGTTTTGGAAAAATGTTTGGAAATGGTCCGTTGGCACCCAGGATGTCATACTGCGCGGGTTGTGGGGTCCTATACCTGGGATTTTTCAGACCCAGGTAGAGAAAAACCTCGGATTCTATGGTGAAGGGATATTGTGACGAGGGTCCGACACATTTCGGCATTACCCTCTTTGGGATATTCTATTGGAGAACTATGGGTCCCGGAAAATGACAGTGGCAATGAAAAAAATAGGTTTTTTCGAGGATACAATGTAGACACGTCCAGACAGGAGTTTTCATTGCAACTATTATTCAAATGGTAATTTTCCAATGTTAGAACGATGCACCGCTATTTCTGTGTGAAAAAGCTAGAGTTGAAATTAATTTTTTGGATGAAAGAAGAAAAAAATACAGATTATCAGATGAAAATTGAAGCTCTCTCCGATTTACTCTGGGAAAGTTGACCCAAATATCTCTGCCGAAAAACAAAAAAAAAAACGTTTCATCCCCGAAGATGAGAAGTTGGTACGACGCAAAGGAAGTACCTAGAGGGGAACGATTACCCTTGGGATGGAATATACATCAGCCTGAGGGAGCGAAAAAGGCGCGTAGAAGAGCAAAAAAAGACCCCTCCGATCTATGAAAACGCACGAGGCAACGCAGTACTGCGTAGATGGTGCGGTGCTTTTAGGGGAGGCCAATACTATTGTTGTTGGTGGGGTACCCCCATTGCCAACGGAATAAGGAGGGTCGGTCTTTCATGCGCCGAGGGGTTAGCCAGGTTTGGGGCTCCCTTTTGTCTCCATATCCATGGTCGAAGTATTTCAACAGGAAAAAGAACTTGAATTTTGAAAATTTTCAGAGTATCACCTGAAGGATCTAGCAAACTCAAATCAAATGACGAAAATGAATTTTTCTCCAGTTAGTGGCTAGTGAATCATTGGCATAAATTGTTGATGACGATGGAAGGTGATGAGTCCTCTGGTTAGGTGACTAGTTGGATTTTAACGAAACGTGGGAGAGTTTTACTGTTACTCAGTGGAGCCGGTCGAGCTGGCGGGATGTGGCTTTTCTACTTGATCTCCACAGCTTTAGAGTGAGGTAGAGGCTCAAGATCCAACTCGTGAACCAACTCAGCCGCTGGCAACAACTAGAGAGATCCTAGGCCAGTCCTCATACCACCTCTCCCTTCATCTCAACCCACTGGGTGTTGGTGAAAGGTGTGGCCGCGTTGGCCTGATCTCTTCTGTACGTAAGAATCTCAGAATGCAGTATATCCCATAGCCCAGCATTGGTAATCACTCTCATCCCGTCCGGTTCAAACAGACAAAGATGAGCAGCCAAAAGAATGGAACAAAAACGGAAGAAACACAGGTGTCTCACCGCAGGATTCGTGGCATTCAATGACCTTCCTGGGGATGAATGACAAATACCACAAGGTCGGGCACAAGGAAGTATTTGTCTAATTATCCTGATAAGGTCAATTAATATTTAAATTTTTTAATTGACAGCGAAATATTATCATTTTTTTCCCTTTATTTCAATGATTTTTGAAGATTCCAAGCTGCAGATGACAAATGAGCATGACAGGCTTATGCACATATTTGTGTACATGTGTAGCATACACGTTGGAAATATATAGCAACGCATATATACGTCAAGTACGAAAATAAAATGGTTTGGTTGGTTTGTACTGGTGCCATCGTATGTATAAGCCTACGCTGAGACAAGGTTACGCGATGCTCGTGAAAGTCGACTCGACGAATTTCGTTATATATACATACAGTATATGTGGACATGTATACATACCAGTGTACATGTCCATTGCCTCCTTCGTTTTTTTACTCCTTTATGCGGTGGAAACAGCGAAAAAGACAAATTAAGACGATGAAGAAAAAAGAGAAGAGAGAAGTGTCTCTCAAGGCTGAGTTGGGAGCGTGTGGCAGTCAGCTGGTCTCGTTGTAATGATTAGGCCAGCGACAA